TACTTGGTAGCAATACATGTGTATAAGGCCTTTATTTGGTAGACTACACCTCCTAATTAATAACACGATTTCTCATATGATAAGCACTTTTAAATTTTTCAAATACTTTAAACTGCACACATGCTATGAGCTCAACATTTGTTGTTTGTGAAAAACTTACTTCTGCTTATTTAGAATACCAAAGTACACTTTAATTAACTTACATGTAGCTTAGACTTTGTTGAGTTTTTATGAAGACAGTTCAATGGAACTGACATTTGTTACGTTTATATCACATCTGTAGACCCCTTAAAAGCACAGTCCTTAGAGATCAGTTCCAAACTGTCACAGTCATTCTGAATTTTGATTGGTACCAGAAGTTCAATCTTGTTCTAGCAAATGAGAGTGAAGCAGGTCTCACACTTCCTCTTGTGTGCTCTTACACCAAGTGATACATGAAATTCAGTTGCTTACCATGTTTGTTTTGGACCTTTTTGTACGGTAGATTAGCACTTTGCATGATGATGTGAAGTTGACCATTTGTATGATGATGTCAAGTTCACCTATTCATTTCTCCCCATAACTTGAATTTGTTAGACTTACTGGCATGAAATTAAAATTTCAATAATAAGAAAAGTTGAAAGCTTCTGGTAGTTTAAATCATATGATACCATCATGCACTTGCCTGTACATTGCTCTGCTGTGTTTAAGATATGTCTCTGATTACTGTTCCTGAAATCTATTATGGTGACACTATCTCTATTGAACTTTCTGTTAAATAAAACCTCCAGGTATTGGGTTAAAAATTATTAGCAACGTTAATGTTACTTCAGAGTACTTAACTCAACATATGATACATTAAAATATTGCTTTTGTTCTGATCTTGTAATGTACCTATCTTTTTTCCCTAGATTCTTCCATTTGTAACCTCATATCTACCTACTTCAACTAAATTTTTCTGTATTCTTTATTGAAAATACAGTTCCACAAAACCTAAATACAATAATTATAGTAAACGTTTTGCTCTCAACCAACTGAAAGTTGAACTTTATACCCTAATAGACAAAAGAAACCTACACTCAGCATTGTGTTACTTTACATGTATACATTGTCCAAAATTAGTCACACGTTCAAACCAAACAAGCTCCCAATGGCTTCTAATTTAGATTACATCATTTCCCGAATGTCCCTGCTCTTCTACAAAGTTTTGTCCTTGTGTACTGGTACACAAAATGTCAAAAATATTCATGTGAAATTCTTCCCTAGAGTTTATTTCACATCACTTGCCTTGGAAAAGACAATCAACTAACAAACTTCAGAAGTCAATTCCACTTCGTTACGTAAACATAATCGTGACTGAATCTCTCAGATCACTATGGAAGATTATGCTGATGTTTTTTCAGTTCCTAAAATCCTCGGGATACATGTGCAACATTTGTTGTCAAAATGAGACCTCCAAACCAAAGTTTGGCCAATAACTCTCATCTTCAGAATGAACATTTCGGGACTTTTGTATGCTAGTTATCTTGTGTTATTAATGAACAGGATCAATATTGAAAACTATCTAATGGTAATCAGATATTAGCTCTTCTAATAGAAACCCAATGAGACAAAAAGCAGCTAAATTTCGTGAGCCACACATGTACGCATGCGGACCTATTTTTAATACCTAGCCAGAGGACGAGCATTCTTATCATCACTCGTTGAAAAAAGGAACAAGGGATTTGATGAATCGCGTTTTTCCCACTGCCCTCTTTCCTGAGAAAGCTCTGGTATGGTTTAGAGAATTAAGAATTTATTGTTTGGAAGTAAACAGTTATAGACTAGAGAAGTTATCTATATACTAAAAGTTATTGAAACTCTAGTAGTTATAACGTCTTCCTAAAGAGCATGTGGACAAAGTATGTTTTTCTTTTTTTCAATTTTTTTAAATTTCGTTTTATTTTCATTGATTCTGAGAAAAGAAATCCTAATGTCGACAAGAAAAAAATGGAATATCAGTAATTTTTAGAACCCGCATCATCCACAAGCTGACTGCTTCTTGTCTCCAACTCAGTTTTCATTTGACTTTCAAATTTTTGGTTTTACGAACTAATCGCCAATTTTTCCTCTTTTTTGTTGTTGTTATATATTAAATGTAAAACAACAATTCAAAGTGGACACTCCTATGCAGATTTTTCCATCTGAAATCCGAAGATCTTACCACTAAATCTCGATGTGTTTCGCTAAGCATTTGGACATTTTAACAAGTTGATTGTTTTTGATTCTCGTCAGCAGTTTACACGACATTGTAGTAATGTTTATGGAGAGAAAATTAATTTTGATCAGTTTTACCGAAGTGCTATGTTTTCTTCGATTTGACAGCACTAAGAAATTTTATTGTACAGTTCATTTTTCGGTGATATCACACAACCTAAAGAAACTAGATGGATCGAATAACAGACTATACGTTCCAGAGATAAAAAGTGAAGAATAAATATTCCATTAGAGCGCAAAGCAAACACGTATTCATCAACAGAATCGACATATGTACCGCAGATGAAGTTATTTTGCGATACACCGAAAAAATTGCTCACCGTCTTTAAATTAACAATTGTGCTGCAAGAAGGATAAAATAATTGACTACTAAGGGTTAAGGCTATTACATTAAGTACCTGAATATTGATTGTCCCTTTACACTTTCAGAGCCTGATCGCATTTATCCACATAAGCAGCAGAGAATAAATACACAGAAAAGTAAAGGTTTTTACAGCTGCTGTTAAACGTTGTTGTAAATAAATTCAGAGCTAAGACAATAATTTTAATCGCGTGATGCGTTTAAGTCACGCGTACAACAATTAGCTGAAAAACGTAACCTATGTTGTTCTTTAGGAAATTAATTCTGAAAAAGTCGTTGTCTTTATTCTTGGCCAGCTAAACCAATTAAAAAAAAAAAGAGGAAACAAATTTCCGCTATCAAACCTTTGCATTATTTTGCGCGCGTTAATTTATCCTTCGCCGACGTGACATGCCTGTCACACGAGGAAAATAAGCTTCATCAGCCAACCGAACAACCATTTTTAACAAAGGGAGGCTATTTGAATTTTTGCTATGCAGTCAGGAATCTCCACAACACGAATTTGAAAGCAACTCATTTTGTTTGTAGGCTTCAAAGGAAACTGACACTTGCAATTATTTTAAAAAATACCCCGATATGGATTAGACATGAATATTAATTTTAACGGCGACCTGAGAACTGACTCGGAAGAAGAAGAAGAAGAAATAAGCAATGTAGGCACAGTTAACCCATGCTGGCAGAATGCGCCTCAGCAATTATGTAAATATCTTTACGCACAGGCGTCCCGAGCTTACGTCATGAGCAAAAGCAAGCGATTGATTCATGAAACCGTCACGCATTGTGTGACCCGATGTTAAGTTACCAGAGGAAACGTTGAGAATTTAACTCGTTCGCGACTGAAGCTTCTATAGTAATTGGCGATGTTTACCTCGCTTTATTCGCCATGAAATCCTTATACAAAAAAAACAAAATTGTTTTTTTACTAAAGATATTCACTTTTCTATATGTTCAACTTCTAATAAGTTGTACTGGATTGAAGACCAACTCGCCGACGTCTCTATTCGATTTTATACGTCAATCAAAACGGAATCAAAATTTTGAGTTAAGAATAGCACCATTCCTTCTGAGGCAAATCCTTAAAGTTCCACAACACAAACAAACCTGCCGATTATAAGCTCAGGGGTTATACAACTTCGTAAGGGTTTTAGGAGGGCTTATTAACAGAGGGACCTATAGCCGTGGGGACGTGTAACCGGAATAGAAAAGGCTAGTGCAGTGCTGATCAAAATACGTTTTTTATTTACTCGTTTTTCATTAAGATTCAAAACGTCATAATAAATCAAATTAGTTTCAATACATTTGGCTCAATAAAAACTGGCAACATGAAGAAAACTGGTACGTAGGAAAACTGAGAAAACAGACTTTTCTCTCAAAAGTTCATCTTTGCTCTTCTATCATTAAAATTTCTATGTCCAAGTCACAGCACTGAGGCTTCTCCTACTTTGGTATTGTAGAAACAAGAAAAGCTAGAACAGGGCTTATATCGGGGGGAGCTTATAATTTGATGCTTTTTTTTTTGTTTTGTTTAAAGTTAGATGAGCCTTTAACCGAGGACTTATAAATGGAAGGGGGAGGGGGGGAGGGGGGAGGAGAGGGCACTTATAAGCAGCAGTTTACCGTATTTATATATTTACCGACAGAGACATTCTTTTTATCAGTTTTCACAAGCCTAAATGTCTCCTCTTATAATATTGTTACCCCACGCAAAAAGTGAGTAGGTTGCCTGTGACGTCCTGTTTCAGAACTTTCCTGCAATAGGTGCAGTTGTTCTCTCTTTTCAAGTCTCTACACTTTAATTTTCTTTGCCTGCAACAAAAATGCATCATCAAACAATGAGAAAACTTAAGAGAGATAAAAATATAAAATATTACATGATAATATTTGATAAGAATCCCTATTTTACTAACATCTTCTCATAAGGTAAACAAAAAGGCCAGGCATACCAGTTTTTCTATAATTTGATTATTACCTTTGTCTAATCCTAAAACCCCAGATAGTGACTACAAACTAGTTTTGCCTTGCAAATGTCATCCATAAATTAAACCACTGACAAAAAATAGCTTGATTGTTGAGCAAATTGTCTCCTTGTCAAAAAAAAAAAGCTTTTGACTGTTGAGCAAATTCTCCTTGTCAGAACAAAGAGAAAAGTATGGACAATAGGGAATGCATGTGTATAGATTAAGGATTAAAAAATATCATTGTGCTTCTATGATTTCCTCAGCTAACAGTGTGTTCTTGCAGGAATTGACACATGTGAGCACAGGGGAGCAGATGGGAAATGTATGTGACAGCATAACAGTTACATGAGGTCAAGTACATCTCTTAATTCAAAGGCATCAGTGATGTTTAGAAAGTTTTGTTAAATAAACTAGCCATTGGAGTGCTGTTTGAAAAACTTTCAAAACATATAATGAGTCACCATAAAATATGAAATGTCAGAGCTGTTTGATATGCTTTTATGCATGATATGTTCTAAACAAAACCTCATACAAATACTACTCTTTGTCCAATTTACTGGCGCACATTTCTTAAAAAAACATTTTCAAAAATGAAAATGCCTTAAGATAATTATATTGTTTGATTTGATCATTCATTAAAATGTAGACAGTGATGGACACATCAAATTTAAATGTTTTCTTTAAACTACTAAAGAGTTTAGTGTTGTTAAGTTATCTTTAAAAGTTTTAATTTCAAGTCAGTGTATTGCACTCAATAACTTATTTTTCAATTCATTGACAATAGACTAATCAGGAATGAAACAGTTTGTTTCAGTATCTTATGATTATTATTACATTATTATAGGTAAGAAGTATTAAATTTAAGTAGAAAAAGCACAGCATTCCTATGTCTAAGTGACTTGCTGTAGTCTCTTATTTATCTTGAGTCCCTAATTTTTGTTGATGACTGTTAATTAAAATCAGAGTGAAATTAACGAAAAATGACACCAACAATTTGACAATGAAAAGTTAAACCCCATCTCTCTCTCACTGTAGGACAGTACCCACTGATGAAAGGATGAACCTGATTAATTCTGATTAAAGCTGACTCATTTGAGAGTGTAAGAGTTAGTTTGAGAGTACATGTTTAAGTATGTAAGTACTCCAAATACTTTTGCAATTGTTTAAAATTGCAATGTTATACCTCCCAACCCAAAGCCATTTTTCATTTGACCCTAATTGTTGCCTTTGGCTCCAGTTTAAGGAACATTTGAGAGCCTTGGAAAAGAAAACTCACTTTATCCCTTGAAGCCAGTCATTAACTCCTTGTGTTTAACAAATTACTAGCTGAAAGAAACTATGGACATTTCTAACAAAGAAAGTGCTGCACGAAAAAGCCAAACCTTTCTATTTTAATCATCCCATTCCCTGAAAGGACACTTTTGTGCCCATCTTCAAATGACTATCTTATCATGATAACTGAAGTTTGTGGTTTAAAATCTAACATGATATCCAAGCTAATTAAACACCAAAAGAAAAGAGACCCTGATCAGTCTCCCAGAAAACTTACTGCTTGTCTTATGCAGGCTTTAAGTGCTTGAAACTCCTTATCACAGGCATGCTTGGTAATGTTGTCTTTCTGGGACACACAGCTTCCATAAAGAAGGGCCTGAAAAATGAATAAAAATATTATCATTAAGAAAATAAGATATCTGACAAGAACCTTTTAGTTGAGCATTAACACAATCTCAGGCATATTCTCAATACTTAAAACAAACTGAGTAAGGTTTTCAATTGAGTGAGTCAATTCTTGGATCTTGAAAGTAAAAGGGTCAAGATTTCAGCTGGTTGGCTAAGAGGAGACAATTTGGGACAGATTTGAATGCTGTAATGATCTTTTTATTCATCATACACAGTGCTATCTATAAATTTAATTGGGCCTAAAAACAATCTTATATTGGAACTAAGCTTTTCCATGACTGGTCTGTGATTGGCTAAAATATTAGCACTATCTAATCAACCAATCTGAGGCAAAAACAGCAATTTGGTTTCTTGTATTTTGCAGTGGCCTAAGTTGGTTTCTGTCTTTGTTTATCTCTGTTTTTTCCCCTTCTTTTTTCATATTTTAATCACAACATCACACATTATACTAAAAATACATCCACAACCTCACTTTTACCATAAATTACTCACGATCAATAAATTCCATTATACTCCAACAAATTTATTTACTAGTAGGCAACTGGTCTAAACCCATTACATGACAGAAAACTGGGGATATCCAATGCTGTACCTGAAGTGATATTCCCTAATTTTCCAAACTTACATCTAATATGGAAAAACTCTATGTTTAGGATTTAATTAAAGATGAAAAGCATTGTGTGGTTGTTATAGAAGAAGTAACATGTTTCTTTTGTCCATAAAGTCATTTCAGAAAACACTGAAAAGTAAACTTCCCACATCATCAACAGTAAGCTGTTCATAAACAATTTTCCCGCATGTTGAAAAATATTGAGGGATAATAAACATAACAGCCTCCATTCGGTGTGAAAAGTGGGAAGCTGTGATACAATTTATTACATACACCTCTAACAGCTTATTAAAAGATTGATGAAAGTAACAGACTTGAAAACAAAAGAGCTTCATGAAAATGCAATGGAAAGAAAAAAATTATGAATTTTCAATAAGTTATGTCAATGTGATTTTTTGCAGCAACAGTGCTTTTAATTTATTTATTACAGTTTCCTTTTTTATTTTTTAAGTAAGTCACATTAGGGAGCAAAATTGAACTCTTTGCCAAATTCAGAAGAAGACACTTATTGAACAGTTAAGTTACTCTCTGTGATCCCAAAGTGCAGCAACAAACAAATCTTCCCATAGTGCTTTAACAGCTGACATGTGGCTGATCTTAAGGGACACTTTTATCACACCTTTATCACTTAGATCATTTGCTACGCTGTCATCAAAAAGAAATATGACTTTCACTTAACTTTTGTTTGCTTCACCTTAGTGGTGAACCAAAGTATCCATTCTACACTTAGTTGATTTAATCATAAGTTGCATTATGCTGGAAGGCAAATCGAAACAAAACAAAGCAAAACAAGACAAAAAGTAATAAAAAAGAACCTGAATATAAATTTGTCCTGAAGAATTCATTTAACGCAGCAACTGCAAGTAATAGCTATTTTTCCGAGGAGAAAAACATATGTAAATCCGTAGCATTGTGTAAGCTTTAAATTAAAAATAAACAAACCAAACTTCACATATGCCTTCGATGTCATTTTATTATTCTGGGTTTCAAATAACTTTCCTATTAGGTAATTTGTCACGGTTTAGATTGATACGAGCAATGCTCAGAAAAAGAAATGTGGGTATAAACTGGAACAGTCCGTGGTTCCAACCCCTTGCAGCTACATGTACCGGCATTTCATAACCAAGTCTTGCGCAATTTTGAACATAACAATTTTGACTACATTGTTAAAACGTACTTACTTGTGTTAACTTCACGTACTTCTTAGGCGTAGTGAACGCAATGTGCCTAGTAAACTCTTACCTCTGTTTTGCATTCCACAAGAGGCTTCGCTAAACCCGAGATTCTTCTGTAATCTTTGCCCATTAAGCTCATTATTTCAGATAAATCTTCGTTTTGCCATATCCGCCATCTTTAATAGCGCGCCATGTGTCCTGGGTATGAAGTGTTGGCTCAACTTGGCTACAAAGCGGAAATGAGTTGGATTAAAACCGGAAGTTCGGATCACTTGTCTTTGTGATACGTATTAGCAGACAAACAAACAAACAGACCATATGGCTTTCTGAAACACGTTTACGAAATTCTACGAAACCCAAAATATAGGAAACTTGGAAAAAATCTTGTGAAGGTTACTCTTTTTAAGTTTTGTCAGTTGTCAATTAGTTGCGAAATTTATTCTTCACACAGCAGGATTTCGCCTGTCCTGAGGTAGAACTGAAACAAAACTGAAACGAGATTGTGGCAGATGGAAAACTTTTTCTAAATGCATGGTCCATCAATATAATGGCCACGATTACAGTAAACCTGGTGTGAAATGCTTGTGTGGCACAAAACTTTTCAACCTGACTTTGTTTAGCCGGTTGTTGAATTATGAACGACTCGTCACAATATAGCGACATTGATATCTGTTGTCATTAAGCCCGTTTCAGTATTGGCCATCTAGCGCAAACTCCGCCCTAACCTTCTATTTCTGGAAATAACACATCTCCGCCGCGACTAGATCTTTGCAACGATCCCAACAATTCTTACTGTCAATCCCATAATGTTTGTACTTCGGCTTCTCGGACCCATTGTCTAAGATATTGGCATTTATATTGTACACGTTTTCGTGTTCGCAGAAACACCAACATTGGTAAACAACGATTGGAGCGCGGAAGGGAACCTCAGTGTTTATCCGATTACCTCTTATCATTCCTCAAGGATTTTAGTTCTAATTTGTTTTTACACCGGTGTAAATCGTCAAGGTCAGTAGAGTGGACTTCATTTGAATTTTGTTGAAGGATTACAATCGCCATGTGTGTGCGACATGAAGTACAGTTGTTCGTGATTTTATCTGTTTTTGTACATCTAAGTGTTTGTGTATGGCCTTGGCCAAATTGGGGGGATAAACCAAAACCTATTGACGGAAACTGGAGCACTTGGTCAGCTTGGAGTTCTTGCAAAATCCCATCGGATAGCAATTTGCTGCCATTTCGACACAAAGAAAGAGATTGCACTAATCCAAAACCGAAAAATGGCGGAGCCGATTGCGTAGGAGAAACGAGACGTACCTCGGGTTGCGACGATTGTAATATTCCCCTTGGCATGGAGAGTGGTCGAATACAAGATTCGTTCGTGACGGCTCTGGACTCCCACAAAGATTTCCCTGCCTCGTCGGCCAGATTGAACGGGAAATTTGCTTGGTGTTCTGATTATCCCGATAGCCTATTGGAACCTTTGTACCTTCAAATCGACATGAAGAGAATTACGACGATCTCTGCAATCGCAACACAAGGTTTCTACCCTCCAGTGGAATTAATGTCTCTTCGAATGGGAAGAGTTAGCAAATATCAACTGATGTACAGTATGGACGGTGTTTCTTGGCAGCTTTATAAAAACAGCGACAATGCTACAATTTTATTTGGGAATAAAAAACGAAACGGTACTGTGCTTAATGTGCTTACACCGGAAATCACCGCACGTTTTCTACGCGTGTACCCATCCAGTTACTTTTCCTTCGTTTGCATGAGGCTAGAAGTGTATGGTTGTTCGTTCGGTTGTGGCGGCGCTTTGGCCCAAGAACCTGGAAACATCGTGACAGAGGGTACGCCGACGGAAGATCAAGATTGTCTGTGGTCGGTGATCTTACCAAACACTTCACAAATACATTTTGATTTTATTAATTTCAACATTCCTTGTAGTAATGGATTAGTGGAGTTCAGAGATGGTGGAATGCCTTATGCAACTGCACCCTTATTGGTCGAGTATTGTGGTTACGAAAGCAGCCTTCCTCCCCCAGTCAGTTCTAACAGTAGTAGGTTATGGGTACGATACAAGTCTAATTCCTCAGATCCTCAGGTTGGCTTTTATGCAGTGTATTTCCCAGGTTGCGAGGAACAATTACAAGGAAGTAATGGTGATGTCAAGTCACCTAATTTTCCTAAAGAATATTTTCACAATTCTAAATGTACATGGACCATCTCTGTGCCGGAAGGAAAATCTGTGAAATTACTTTTTTTGGATTTTAAAGTCGAGGGAGACCTAAATAGGCAGAGATGCCCCCATGATCATCTGACAATATGGAATGGCACTGATTCGAATGCAACAATCATTGGAAAGTTCTGCAATAGCAATCCACCCCCTTCAGTTATCTGTAGCTCAGGGAATACCCTTCGCCTGAAATTCCACAGTGATGATGCAATAGCTTGGACAGGATTTCATATCAGGTATCAAGCTGCTGAGCCGTCAGCATATTGTTCTGAAATTTCTTCATCTGTTGTCATGCCAACATCATCGCGGTCATCTATGTCCCACATGGCCCTCACTCGCACGCCATATTTAACCACACAGCATGCATTGTTTCCTGCAAGTGGTTATCTTGCAGAGTTAACACCAACATTTGTAAGCTTATCAACCTCAATGGCTTTAAATGGAACATTTGGCTTTTCTGGAACTACCATAATTGGAGAAATGCATGCTGCAGCAAGAGGCAAACAAGATGATGAAGATGAGGATGACAGCCTGTTGACTGTGGTTGTTCTTTCAGTGTTAGCTTTTCTTGTCATTTGCATGATTTTGGCGAGTATGGTGCCCTGTGCAAAACGTCACATTGAAAAGCGAAAGCAGGAGAAAGAGATGAACTTGGTGTTTGCTGCTAGTTCAAGTATTCCTGAAACAAACAGCAAAGAGACATTTGAAGTTGTAGACAACAATACATTGCCAGTCCCAGAGATTGTAATGTGTGAAGGATCCTCCTGTGAGGAAATCCTTCCCCTGGCTGGAGTAGCAGAGAGTGTCTCTCTCTATGAAACTCCTACGGGGGAAGAAACTACTGCTAAAATTGATACAGGAGGAAGTAAGTTGACCTCTAAAGCAGGAGGTGGCATAGAGCAGATGGAAGATGGACTGAATGACTTAGGGGATGAGTTTGATGAGAACTCCTCCATTAATCTTGATGGTGCTGAAACAGAGATGGATTGCTTAAAGATGTCCTATGAGGATCTAAGCAGTAGTTTTGCCTCTGAAATGCAAGCAATGTTGAGTCATTTTGTAGAAAGTGATGATCAACCAGCTCAGAATGAAAGACATTCATCAAATCCAAAAACTTCCTCCCAGGACTGTGATCATGAAACAGGAAAGACAAATATGAATGGCATGGAAGCTAAGGATATTGGTAACATTCCTCACAGCACAATTCAAGATGATAACAGGTCAAACCTATCAACTGAGGAGGCACCTTCATCCTCCATCTCCAGTCAGGAGGAGGAAAGACAAAGCTTACTTAATGGGGATGAGGCAGCTGATGAAAATGAAACATGGGAAATGCAGCCTATTCATACCGATGGTCACAGTTGGAGGAAAGCAGCCAAAGATGGAGTTTCAGTATCCTGCAAAGACAAGAAAGACTCTGGCTGTGCTTCAAGCAGTGAGAACTTGCATTCTGTTGAAAGATGTCTCCTTGATGCTGGTGATACAGAGACTATTGTTTAGAGTAAGTGCAGGTACCATAAATTAAAAGCTATGGTAAAGATGGTAAACATTTAGAACTGTGGGTTCTAATATGTTTTCCTAGTTACCAACTAGAGCATACCAGGTGAAGATACATCTTTTTAGTTAATAATGGGATGTTGGCAATATGCTGTTCAGGATTACATGCTATTTAAATCTAGTGATTAACCTTTTCACTCCTTTTTATGAGAGAAAATTTAACTCACAAGTGTTAAGAGAATTAACAAAATCATCAACTGGGGAACATAACATTGAAAAGTCAAAGCAGAGTTGCTGGGTTAATTACCCAGCAATTTTAAAGGTGCTCTGTAATATCAAAGTTGTACAATTCATCCAAAGACTAGAATTAGTCACCTACGAAGTGCTCTGTTATTAATAGAGTTTTGTCCATGTTACAGCATATTCTCAGCACTACTAAAAATGAACTGTAAGGATTTACAGTCAAGTGAGTTAGTTTTCAGACCTTTGGAATGAAAGGGTCAAGATTTAATGTAGAGGCTGAAGAGACAAATTGGGACAGATTTGAACACTGATCTTTTAACTGGTGGGATATAGTTATGTTTAAAAATTTACTCCAGTTTTATTATAGGCATTAACAAAAATATTTATTAGTTAAAAATTTAGTTTTTGGTAATTTGTTTTGGCATATTGTTAAGTTTGGGAGAGTTCTAAAAGATTTTGTTTAAATTTAAATGTAAAAAGAAATTAAGGAGATGTGAGCTTGCCAGGAATGTTATTTATATCATGAAAGGGTTTAAGTTATCAATATTTCATAAACAGGCAAATTTAAGGAGTGAGTGTTTGATTTAAGGGGGCAAATATGCTGCAGGCATTTCACATATACTCTACTAAAAATGCTGTTATGGAAAACAAGTAAAATTTCTCATATTCTCATATCATTTACTCTTTAACTCTCATGATTGATCAAAACAGAATTTCTCCTTGCAATATCAATACAATATCAAGTAGATAAGTGATGAGAATAAAAAAAAATATCAATTTGGGGATATTTAGTTGACCTAGTGCTAAAATTCTCTGAACTAACATAAAAATTGTATGGTTGGCAGTAAGGAGGATGACAAATTTGATCTGGGAGTTTAAGGGTCAATACCATTGATTGACGAGAATACATGTGAATATTTATATTTTTTTTATTTACGCATGTTTGTTCAGTTAAACTATAGGGCTGTCATTCTACATTGCATGTTAAAATTCAGAAGTGGGGCATAGGAGATGTATTGTTTTAAGGAAAACACAGATTGGTGCAGAGTTTCTTATGAGTAAAAGTACAAACAGATATTGCCTATAGATAATGAAATATTCAGGATCACTAAAGATCTCATTTTAGAATTTTCTTAGTGCTCTTTTGAAAATTACTTGTTAGCTTTGAAAAGATATCTTGTAAAAAATCTATATCAATGTGGTATAACTTTAAATTGGCAGACATGTGCATGATAGTGGTCTGCTTGAGCCTTGGCCACCTTGAACTTTGTACTTTCTCAAACTCACAGCAAAAATGTGAACTCCCAGCATCTTGAAGATGTCTTTTCTGGGGTCAAAGGATAATTTCACTTAATAGGAATCTGCTCTTATTGGAATTATGGTAATGTTCTTATTTATTGGCTCAAAACTGTATTTTTTTTCTTTTGAATGTTGTCAAGAATTACCATCATTACCCATTGCATTTCACATAGCTAACCACAGTTACTCAAATTTTTCACCTGGTACTGTAAGGAAAGCTCTTGGCCCTTTCACTCTCAAGATCCCATTAGTAATTCTTCTTACTTTCTGCCATACAATTCATATGATGTTAGTTCAGAGAATTTGGTAATGGATCAGTTAATAATCTAATTGATATTTTTCTTTATTCTCATTACTTGTCTGCTTGACATTGTATAGATATTGTAAGGAGAAATTATGTCTTGGTCACTCATGGGAGTTAAAGGTTAAGGCTGCATAGTTTATAACTTAACCTACATATACAAACACTATAGGGAGATGCTATACAACATTGCAGTTCTCTTATTTATTACTGTATTCCTTCTTAAAATTAAATATATAAATATATATTAACATATCAATTTTCCTTCTGCTGGTAGTAACATAAACCAACCACATATATCTAATAAAGTAAAATTGATATTAGAAATTATTTAACTAGGGTCACTTTGTAATTTCATTTGGTTTTAGTATAATTTCTGTATTTTGTTTTAATTAAAACTAAAACTTATAATCGAAAATTTAAGTTGTTGGCCTCCTTGAAACTTTAGGATGCAGCTCTCTTCTACCAATGCAGATTTTCTTGAAAAAAAAATCAGATGTTTTAGTTCAGAGGAAGTGCATGGTTTAATTCTGAACAACCCCATCAATGGCCACCCTTTTACTATGATTTAGGTTTGATTGTTTCAGCTGAGTATCATAAAAATTTTTTTTTTTGGGGGGGGGGGTAAGTTTCTAAAGAAACTGTGGTGCTGCATCAGTAGGGGAGTGTAACAAGACATTTTGGTTTTATCAACTGAGTTGATAATGTTGATTGGCCACAGTTTAGCACAAGAATACGAAGTAAGGAGTTCAACCAAAGCAAAAACCTTGGACTTTTCATTTACATCAACCTTTTATTTTCCGGATGTGGTTAACATGTATCTTCTCCCAACAATACTCATAGGTCATCCAGCAATCGGGTTATGAGAACACTCCACTCAAACTTATCAGGTATAACTAATTTACAAGGTGTAATGTATGACATTGTTCCATGCCCAGGATGTGAGTGAGGTGTACTGAAAACTCAACAGAGATTTGTGTACCCACAATAGATGTAAACTCAGCTGTGTATGTAGCAAAACAATCCCCTGCCATGCGTGATACTGAATACAAGACTGTCAAGGATGAAAGCGTGACTTCTTATGTCATAAACCACACCTGGAAATGTGTAGCAGCTAGAGGGGAGAATTGACAATTAGATATTCGGAGTTAAAGGATTAAGTCATGAGACCTGACTAGAAGGCTGAGACTATCAAGATGAAATGTTGGTGGCCCTAAAAACAGGAAGTAGACAAAGATTGAAACCACATATGACAAAGTGAAATAATGAATATTATTTTATTCTAATCAGTTACCCAGAAGACCAAGTCTCACACAATTCAATTGAGCCTAGTTCTTTTGATCAACAGCCCTATTTACAAAATGATTCACTAAAGTCTAGTTTAGCTACCTCAGGTTGCAGCTCTTAACTGTCATTTTTATTTTCTTTTGTACACAACAGCATGTTTTATTCTAGTTATTAATTTTTGCATTTAAAACTGAACACAAATTGATCTGGTCCCTTAGTAGCTAAACACACCTTAAGCTATAGACAGATAGGTCAAGAATCTGCTCCTGCAACTTACATTACCCTTTTGGAATTTTGGAGCATTTCAGGCAGTTACATTATCATTAAATTATCACTAAAGGAATCAGACAGGTTTCAAAAACATAACCCTTCAACTACTGTATTTATTCAATTAAGCACTGCCCTTGAAGAAGCATCACATCTGAGATAATAGATGTATTCAAGCTATGCCTCTCAGTAAGAGCCACACCTCGGAAAGGGGGAACTAACTTTGGGTTTTGAAGAATGTAACTCGCACATAAGTAGGGTACAACCTTGTCTAATACCCCACTGACACCAAAACTTAAACATGTTTAGAGGCTGTTTTGGTAAAAAAAACGGTTTAAAAATGTTTTCTTCTTTGAAGCTGTGTAAAGAAATGTTTGTCAACTTCTGATTTAGCACTTTGAAAATACAAGTTTGTGACCATTTGAACCACATGGAAAAATCAATTTTTCAGTTCTCTGTTTCTGATTTAATTCAGTTGAACCCAATTTAACTTAACATATTTTTGTTGGTGTTAATGGGGTATACAACAGAATGAGAGACCTATTTTTCAGAGTTCTTAAACTGTTAGTAAAATCAAAATTCACTGTGCTTAGAATTTATCATTGTGATTGAAATTATAATCCCACTAATAATAATCTATAGCAATGCAAAAATCATTCCAGTGTGCTGTTTATTCAAGGGCACAGTTTATTTTAAAATCAATATTTCTTAAATTGCAAACAAAATTATGGTAAATCAGGTGTAATGTTTTCGAAAAGAAAAATAATGGCAGTTCCAATGACTCACCATTAAGCTGAGCTAGAATCAAAACTGTATGTTCTATTGGAGCCACAAGTGTGGAATACAAAGTTGCAACATGTTTCTTTTTTCCATGTAATCCCAGTCTGAAAATCACACTCTTATGCTTGGGTGAAATGTTCATTCAAGCACAGCTTCATATGTAATTTTGCTTCCATCTGTAGTGTTAGATCAAGGGTGGAGTTCATTCAAGGGAAGTGTTTAATCAAGGGAACATTACTGTTCATAAAATTGTTACAATCAAATATAAATAACACAATTTTCTAACTTAATATAAAAATGAGTCACTTCTCAAGTTCACACAAAAAATTTTATACAATACCTGCAGTGTAAGAACCACCATTCTAGAACAACTTGCATTAAAATTATCCTAAAAGTAAATGTAAAACTACAATATATAGAAAAAAAGTAAGAAAAACTGAAACCAAACCCCCCCCAGGTTCTTCACAAATCCTAAGTACTCCTTCATTGTGCTTTGTAGTGAGTACAACTAGGAATTAAAATTTAAATACCGATACTATCAATGGTAATGTGGACTTTTGACCAAGAGAGTTACTTATGTTATTTTCCTTAACAAATGCAAACCCCCAGGAAGTAAGGGATTCATGCAAGTATCTAAGCAATTGCACACCTACCCTTACCCTAAACCAACAGTAACCTTTACTTACTATCAGTTGACTGTTGTTGGATCAAGGGAGGGATGGGTGAGCAGACACTTTAATACTTACTTTGATCCTAAATGAGCATGCAGCATTACTGTGTTCTAAAAAATAACCAAACATGTACTTTTTTTATGAAGGGGGGGGTGTTTCTTTAAAAGGCCCCCCTACACTCTCATCGTCTAACCCCCTCTCTTTCATATGAACAAAACTTTTTTTCATGCTTGCCCCAGTCATTGGTGTTTGAAATTCCCTGACAGTCTCAAAAAATTTCCCTGACAAACTGAGTTAACAATTGAGAATTTCACAAACAAGTTCTGATTACATCTTACCGCCTCCCCTCACAGCCATCCTCTCCTCTCCACCCAAACATTTATACTTCCAGCAAGTCAAATCCATCAAACGTGAATTGATAGCTCCTTAACCTTTTAACCCCTGAGAGTGACCAGGATCTAATTTCTCCCTACAGTAATACTGCTGAATCATTCATCAAGATCACGAGAACAAGGGAAATGATCACTAACTGACATAAAGGCAACTTTGATTGTTAAACAAATTCTCCTTGTCAGTATCAAAAGAAATGTATAGAGAAGACTATAGAGAATATGGATACTGATGTTAGGGTGCAATGAAAAAATGACTGATTTTCTTGGAAATCTAACATCAGCTTGATCCGGTCCTGTGGCAACCGGGTTGTTTTTTTTCATTTGAGACACCAGTTCACTTGTTTTGTATTTGTGACCCCAGTACACATATGTACACCACTCTGCCCATTAACCCTTTCACTCTCAAGATCTAATTAGTAATTCTCCTTACTATCTGCCATACAGTTCTTATGATGTTAATTCAGAGAATTTGGTATTGGATCAACTAATAATCCCATAACTGATATTCTTCTCTATTTTCATCACCTACTTGCTTGATATTGTATTGATATTGTAAGGAGAAATTCTGTCTTGGTCACTTGTGGGAGTGAAAGGGTTAAGATATTCCCAGACCTTGTCAGGCAGGGTATATAACACCACTCAAAACAACATGTAGGTATTTTCTGGGGCCATTGAAAATGACTTAGCTTACATCTACATGTGCACCTTAAATCTACCTGTTCACGTATCATGCCTCATTCCAGAAGTTATAAGAATCAAACAGATCAGTGATCCCTTCTGTATCTGTCAATGTGAATAAATATTCCTCTTCTGTAAGATTTGGTGATAAAGGAATCAAGGCATCGCTGTCCAAATCTTCCAGACCAGTTGTTTCATCATTTGTCTGTAAAAGAATATTTTTCCTTGGACTGATTATGGTGGACAAAATGCTTCTTTGAAGATCCTCGTTAGATCTCTGTGAGGGTACTGCCAAATCATCACAGTTTTGAGGAGTTTTCTCAGGTGTCAGAAGAAAATGGCTTGGTGTTGTTTGAGGTGCTGGCTGTCGTTTGATGGGAGAAATGTCCTTCATTGGAGATTGGGCATTTACTTGTTCCTCAGGACATAGATAAACATCAATAGGGCCTCGAATACTTTTCAGCCAGATTTGGATACTCTGTCAGAAAAATAAGGAAAAACAGTACAGTTAACACTGACTGATTTGCAGATAAGCCACACCCCAAACTTGGTGACACCAATTTGGGAAGAAAGGTTTTAAAGCAAAGAAATCAAAACAAATTGCAAGTGGGGTCTTGAGAAAGTCATTTGTATTCATTGCTTCATCAAACATAAACTTGAAATGAAATTTCATTGAAAATGGAGAAAATTTTGAATCCTTAAAGTAAAAGTACCCTGATACATTAGAGAGAAATTGGTATGATGTATTCTTGTGTGTAAAAATATGAACCATAATATACTGCATATTAATTCATTATGATAGAATTCCATTCATTTTCACAAGGTTTTTAAGGAGGAAATTAGATCTTTTGCTTACAATTGCATTTATGTGTAATTGGATGTACATTTATTCAGGTATGTTAGGTGCCTTTAGCACCTTGTGGCAAATTTTTCATCTCAAAACTTCAATTCCCAAAAAAGTTCTGTTAGGAGTTAAAAAATTAGGATCTCAGAATAACACAGCTGCTTATTTTCACTGCTTCCTGACACTGGAAATGTCTTTGACTTTTTTACATTATGCAAAGATAGGAACTCAAGATGATAGACAAACATTCGCTTAACCATCAGTTTTTATCACAAAAACAATACCATTGAAATACCATTGAAATAAACATTGACCATTCCACAATAAAGAATAAAATTGGCTTGCTTATACTTTCTAATTACATAAAGGTATGCGAGAGTAGACGCATATACCTGCCTGTGTTGAGACTGGTATATGTCTGGTCTTTTGCATGTGGGTTTAACATGCTTATTTTGATCCCTTGAAAAATTTGAGCTACACTATGTGTCACTTTGGCTTACATAACACCAAATTTCTAGTTCACAACATTGGTAAAAGATACAGTTTACATGCACTGCAGCACACTTATAAAATAATGTAATGTAGAAGGAAAAAAAATCCTTTTGTTACCTCCTTGGGATCTGGTACTTCTAGCCTCGTTTCTGGTGGAGCTTTAATTGCAATCACTGTCCTGTTTTTGAAATGCTTGACATCACGAATATCTCGATATGTCACATACGCATATGTAGTTAAAATGAAGGACAATAATATCTGCTCTGATTCTGATTTATCTAATCCCTTAAAACCTAACATGACAATGTAAATTCTCCATACTGTTCTCTACACATTTTGTCTGGCATCGACAAGGAGAATTTGCTTAAAAATCAAGACTCTCTTGAGTTCATGGTTATTTTCTTTACTCTTATGACCTTAAGGCTTGATTCAAGGGTAGTAATATTGGGAGAAATTACATGCTTATCACTCTGAGGAGTTATGTGGTTAATTAAGCTGTTTGAGATAATGACCTATTGTTTTGTCCGAAAGCTGTCATGTCTATCTTTACTGGTAATATTTTTCCTTAGTAAGATAGCAACCTGTGCCAAATGGTAGTATTAAATGGAAATGGAAATGAAAGGAACAGAAGTTGGGGGCCCTGTGTACTTCTTTAACAGTAAACTTGTCATAAATTCATACTGGAAAGGATATTTGGCAACTTCAGGATCTTCTGTAAGATTTTTTATTTCTGAGCGGCATCCCTCTATCATTCTATCAAGGAAAGATTCTTTAGCAACAAGGTCAGCAATGTCTGTGTGAAGATCCATGGTTTGTGCTGAAATTGATTCAGCTCCCTTTGTCCTCCGAGAACTATCAGTATAGCAGGTGCCCCTATGATAACAATACAAATAGGTTCAAAGACTATTGAATAAAACAACAGCAAAAGTCATGCTCTATCCACATTCTCTATACTGCTCTCTATACATTTCTTGAGAAGCTGACATGGAGAATTTGTTAAACAATCAGGAACTTCTTCAGTTGGTGATCATTTCCTCAACTCCTATAACCTCAATGGGTGATTCAGGGCTGATATTGTAAGGAGAAATTAGATGTTTGTCACTCTCAGGGGTCAAAAGGTTAAGTTGGAAGAATTTTAAAAAGCCTGGTCAGTACCAAAATTATCTTGCACATTAGGAAAATATTAAGTTACCCAATAGTCCATTTGGGTCTGTATCATCTGCCATAGATTCTATTACATGTACCTTCACCCAAACAGAATAAAAGAAAATCTAACTAGCTGGCATTGGAAACTTAACAGTAATAAGCAAGCTGCCATGCTCTGGGAAAAGAAAAATGCAAATGACTGAGTGATGATTTTGCTTAATCTGATTGGTTGACATGGAGGTGTAAATTTCCCACATGGCCATGAAGGGCAAAACCAATTCAGAGCTGAATAACTCTTGCTGATCATTGGAAAATCTCTCCTACCTCCACTCAATATTATTCTTGGATTTCTTCTTTATCAGCCCAACACCTTCTAGAACATTGGTAATGTCATAGATTCGTCTTTTCTGGACCTCTAAAACATCTGCTGCCTGGTTCAAATCCACCACACCATCTTCAGTGCTTTTCAAAAGACCCACAAACTTTTTGGTCAAGATCCCCAGTGATGTATCATAGCGTGTCTTCTCTATTGGAGATTTAACAAACACTGCAGAAGAAGAGAAAAACGTGATAAATATTTGTTTATCATTAGCAGTTATAAATCTTGCTGTGATGTCTCATCGTTGATATTCCAACCAATTTAAAATCTCCTTTTCTTAGACAATGATATTTAAGGCTACACTGAGAACGATCTTTCAAATAAAAGGACTATGTTGAACTATATCTTAATTTCCATAGTTATGCCCAAGTGCAAATCTTCATTTATTTCTGACACTGCATAAAGATGTGTTCTTGCTTTTACCAATCCTCACAGGTGAAGCATTTCCTTCGATTTACTGCAAACGCCCCTTAATGATTACGGATTATGGCTCCTGACTTCTTTTCTTTGAAATGAACTCAAATTATTCAGAAACCATAAAACGCAAGCGATGTGGAAAATATTTTGATTGCGAACAATAAACTTCTTAGAAGGCTTCATTTGCATAGTTAAACCTTTGTTCGAGCGCTTAACAACATATTCAGGGATATAGAAATCAAAGTTTTAAAAATTTTACCATGCTAATCTAGAACATTTTGCTCACTCAAGGAGACTGTGCCATTGACAATTCGCATTTACCGAAAATAAATTATACTCAGTTCTACAAGGAAGACGCTTACGAACAATCCCGGAAACACACACGTGTATAAATCCCTTTGTTCAGAATGATAATTTTGCAGATTTCTCTTTTTTCATTAAACTGTAGGAAATACTTTGTAAACACGAAGAAAAATCCTTACTCTTTGGGTATGGTTGCATTTCTCTGCGCCCTCTTCTTCTAGTATATCCTTTTGCTTTTGGAGTTCTGAATGACTGTCTTACTTGTGTAGGAGATTCATCCAGATCGAGTTTTCTTTTCACCTAATATTAAACAACCTCAAATCAGTACTGAATTTCTCAGATAAAACTGTGATTAGTATAGTAGAAGTCTTGAAAACGACCTCAGAAATCTACATACCTGAGGCCTTGAACTTGGGCAGACTGATCGTTCCTTCGAATAGACATCGGGTGTACATAAAACCGGCTTCGATCCTTTGAATGCGGGCGATGGCGGAGCTTTTGCTTTCATTTGATGCGAGGAAGTAGTACCACTGTTCAGAATTTTCCTACTGATCGAGTTTAACTGATGACCATGAGCGCTTAACGGCGGTCTTCCACGACCCTCAATCGAGTATCTTCGCGTCGCCATATTGTTCAACAATGGAGTGGGTTCTTCGACAGCGTTTCTGTTCAAAAACTACTCCACAACTTCTTGCAGAGCCTTTACAATGGAAGAAATAGCGGCTTTAAAATACTCAAATAAGCTTCTTTCAGAAGTTTAGAGCTTATTTTGTTCCAAATAGCTTCAAATCTGCGAGATAAGATGTACGATTGCTATTCAATTGATCCTTCGAGATGAATAATAAAAATAAAAAGCGCGCGCTTTCAAGTTTCGCGCCGGGAAGTGATCACGTGGTATGGCTTCTAGTCTCAGACCTCGCTGGGTCAAAACCACGCGACCATTTTACATTCTTCTTCATTGCAATGGCAGTTTACATTCAGTTCTCGCGTTTGTAGACAAAAACGCAAGTTTGGGAGAACCTAAAAGCAGATTACAGCCTTCTAACTGCTCAGATATTATTCACTATTGAATGAATTTGCATAAATATAATTTTCTGTAATAATAATGATATCACAACACAAACGCTTTTCTTTGTCATGGTCTGTTGAATCCGCCTTAGCGAATTGCGAAAATTAAGCAGATGCAGTTAAAGTGCAAGTGAACTTTTAATGGATCTTTGGCTCTTCTCTAACTTCCTTTCCCTATGCCTATTTTGGAAAATATTAACAGTCCTAACTAAATAGTTCCTGGGTAGCATTTTCGTTTTTCGAGCTGTTTTAAAGTAAACTTACAGATAGGGCAAATTCATTCGTTATACAATTAAAAGGAAATTTGCTTAGGGTACAATGTATTTAAATCGTATACTAATTATTTTCCCTTTAATCCCCTCTAGGCAAATTAGACACGTAGTTCTGCTGGATGAAAGCGCTAAAACTGAGTTATTTTCTAGAAATTGAGAGCGGAAATTATCCAGTCGACTCACGCTGTTCTTTCGCACTTTTCCAATTTTTCCTTTTGCGCCAACGTAACACGTAGTTAAACCTCCCTGGGACGCCTTCGAGCAGTTATTGTTTGGAAGATAGTTGAATAGACATAAACTCGATTGCACCTTAATAAAGGTCGATAAGAAGAAAAAAATGGACGCGGATTTAAATCTCGACTTTATTGAGTTATTTATTTGCAGTCATATTCCTAAAATGATCAGATTTCATTTGAAATATTGCTGTCTGCCAGCCAAGATGGCGGTTAATGCATCCTTTCTTTAAACGATCAAGTCTTGAATCTGTGTTTTTATTTACAAAAGGAAAGCTTCTAACATGCATCAGCTATTATCAACTATTGAATAAAGCTATTTTAGTTAAGTTCATCACTATTACGTCGTGAGGAAAAACAAACATAGATGTACATCTATTTACATATAAATGAAGACATCTTGCCAAGTACCTGTACAACACTGCGACAAAAAATAAAGGAAAATAAATAAACAAATAAGAAAAAAAAAACATTCGCAAATAAGTTATTTTAAACTGACAGGGTTCTATGGAAGAGTCATTTGTTTGAATTTTAAAATGCTCAAGCTGAGTGATCAAAGGCACACATGCAGTTACCTTTCCTTTGTTTCAGTAAGCGCTAAGCTATGACCTATTATGTAACCCATATGGTATACATTGGTATACACTGACAGTAATGTTTTGAGGGAATTAGTTTTTGGCGCCAAAAGCTGTCAGCTGAGATTTAAGCATAATTATTTCTCGCGCTCTATTTGCTTATGCACAGCCAACGGGCCTTAGAGAATTCTGTTGTTTGTGCACAGTTGAGCTGATACCATTCAAAATGATTGCTCGCATTCTATTGAAAGTGGATATCGAGCTTACAATTTTACATCAACTTGAGCCTCTTAATCGCCAAGCCAATAAGAACCGCGCTGTAGAAGAAGTCGAAGCATTGATGGTTTATTTATGCCGAGATTTTAGTAATGGGCGTGTTCCACAAAGCACTTTTTGTGCAAAAGGGCGTTTTATTCAGTCGGTGATTTTAAAAGAAGTTTTCAAGGCATGCTTCGGTGGTTTCTTTGTTTTTGGGATCTAAATATGCCTCGATAAGCAGTATAGTAAACACCTCCTCGAATTAATCAGCAACTGGGTCAACCAAGCGCGAACAGAAAGAAAACCTAAAAGGCAGCCATCGAAAATGATCGCGCGAATACTCAACCACGTGCGCAGTATTATTTCGGCCCTGCTTGCAGCTCGCTAACTAACGAGGCTCTGTAAACATTAAAATAGGTCCTGTGTTGCTTGAGTATGTCTTTTCCACCGCCTCTCAGTCTTCTTTCCTTGGGCTCAGACCTAGAGATCTCATAGAGCTTGAAAGATGAGTAAAGTAAATAGTCTTCCCACTTAAATCGGTGCAGCCTTGGAACATAGGTCCGCTTTTTGCTATGAATCCAGATACTCACTCAACCTTCTTTCTGTGAATTGGTCAGAACGCCTGTGCAAGAAAAAAGAGAGAATATTCCCACGACGATTAAAGAAAACACTCTACAAAGAATCAATAACAATGAATGGAAGGTTCAAGTATTGAGTCAGCAAGTACTTGTCCTAGGCAAAGGGGCATGGGGTTTTTCCGGTTTTGGTGTTCGTTGTGGTTTGCGTTTTTCCCGTGTTTGAGCATTTGGTTTTCGGTTCTCATCAAAACTACTACAGTGGATCCTCTACTTAACGAAGTGCCAAGAGACTGGGAAAATTGGTTCGTTATATCGAGGAAAAACAACCTAAATATTCGTTATATCGAGGTATGGTTAATAATTGCCCTTTTTTTGTGGTGTGACGTTTCGCTACTTAACATTCTATGATCGGAACGATTACTGTAGATAACATCAATCTGAAATTATTTTTCAAAATTTCTTTTAAAAAAACTAAACTAGTTAGCGGCACTTTGCTAACAGTACTTGTAAAAATGTTTTATTCTCTGCCGTCGAAGCACGTTCCGTCTACCTATCGTAGACTTCTTCAGGTAGTTTACAAGTTAACACTACACGCCTGTATTTATAAGCCACACTTAGCGGTTATTAAGGAGGCTATTACGGAGGCCAATGACCCCATATAGGCTTGGCTGAACTTACGAACAAGAACAGGGGAAGTGGTGAAAAATCTTGAAAATTTTTTTACGCAAGGTGAGAAAAATATTTGAAGGCCACGGTTTTACTTTAAGGTTAACTTTTAAAACTCCCTGAAAAAGTGGACGACAGTTAGAAGAAACGCATGGAAGAATAAACCATTCGCACAGTGCTGCTCACTAATTAAGTTTTTAATATATCAAAAATAGCCTATTAAGACCTGAAAGTTTGGAGATTCTATTGAAGTGTTGCACCAATTAGTCACGAGTAACCGGTAACTTGTCCGATTGAAGCTACCCAGTGCAATTTGGTACTTTTCGTGCACTCAGTTACTGGCGCATGATGCACGTTGGAAGCCATAATTTGCAAACTGATCGACCTAAGGGCTCCACATTGCAAGGTCAAAGTCTCGGGCGTCATCCGAGACGCGTGGTCCCTTACGGATCCCTACGATTTTTCACCTAAGAGAAGTTACTTTGGTGACATTTGATTTGTCATGCATTCCTCCCGGCCAAAGTTACAGTTAAATGTATGGGACAGAACTACGATATAACGAAATCCTCGTTATAACGAACACAATCCAGAAGCCCAAACGGATAACATACCCCGATATCTCGAACAAATATCAACATACATTATATCATATAGAAGTCCTCAAGCAAACCACATCCACGGCGGCAAGAAGGACATGGAAAAACAAGACCTCTAATGGGCAGAACAATAGCTTAGCGTATGCGCCTTTTTTAAAAAAAAAGTTTGTACATGTACATTGCTAGCCATCCTCTGCAAAACACAACGTAAAATCACCAAACTTTGCATGGTCTGGGAACGGAAACCCCAAGAACAAATTAGGTAAGTGTCCATTTGGAAATCAACGCTGCACACATTCGTTATTTTATAGTCAAGGTGTGGCTTACGAAACGGTTAACACACCCAGTCATTCAATAACTTTTAACAAAAACTACTGATTCAATCGACGTCTTCCCCGGCGTTACCGTCCTGACTTAAAAGCGGAGATATTACGTGTATACTGTTTCTAGTATAGACCCCTTCAAACAGTCGGCTACAATTGTGTTGTATCTCAAAGCAACAACACACTCACCTTTGTGACTTAAGCGTTGCATTGATGTGGAGAAGGCTTTCTTCCAGAGAACCGAAAGATACATCAACTTTCGGGAGGTTCACCCCCTCAACGAACTTTGGCGACTTCTAAATGGATCGAAAGGAAACAATCACAAAGCAGTTAGTTTTGAGTAAGACTTTACGAGACGTAAATTATTTGATATATTATTCGTTCAAAACACTGTAAATAGGTATAAAATTTGGAGAGTTTTTATTTCAAATATGGAAAGTCATTGTTTGGGTAAAGTTTTTTTTTTCTTTTTCAATTAAAGTTTTAGCAAAAACACTGATGTGATATAAACTTATAAATTGTTATGGAATACGATTACGGGATCTGTTGGACTAATTTGAACTTATTATAATTCAATTGGATTGGTATTTTGTTTTTTAAGGTGTTTAAGTTTACTAAGAATATTCTCGTACACCGTTTTAGTAAGCAAGTGTTGTGTAAGTTGACTGTTGATATCAAACAAGTGGTTGAATGATTGCTCTTGTTTATTTTTAGAGTGCAAATGTATAAGTATTATACCACAGGAAGTGCTTTGAATTCGGGATTCACTTTTAAAGTATATACGCGTGGGATAACTTATTTAATTGCTGTAATTTAGAGATTAGTTTCTGATTTGGTTTTTAGTGCAAACGGAAGTGACCCACATAACACATATGCTAAGATCGAGTTGTCTTCCCCTTATGCGGGGGTGCTTTTAATTTAGAAATTATTAATTATTTCCAGTCTTCACCCTTCAGCCCTAGTCCTAATCTTTCGCTCTTTCTTCCTAGAATTTCTAGAATCACCAATTTAGTGCAATGATCAAGCGTCGTTTAGCTACTCGTACTGAAACTATGCAAAACCAATGTTTTACAGCTAATATTACTTTTATTGTGGCTGTCGTTCACAACTCGTAGGATGTTACTCCGAAAGTGACCGGAATATGGTCAATCTCTCGTGGGCGGGCACCCTTGGGAATTGAAAAACGGTGTTCATTAGTAGACCTGTCCGCCTACGTATTCCAATAAGCGGACACTAAAGAAAATTAGGGCGAATGTCCGCTTACGAGAGTTAATTAGCGAGTGTTAATTACTTGTGGGTAGCCAAACAATATGAACTGAAACTGTGCGTTGATGTCAAATGTTAAAATCGTAAGAAAATCAAAGTGCTCTGTGAGCAAACTCGTGAATTGACACATGATTTTTTGGATTATGTTTGATGTAATCTGGTTTAGGGAATTTTGTGGTTGATTGTCATATCTAGAGTACGAGCAGTAGTTCAGTGTTCGCTAATGTAGCAAAGAAACAAAGTAACGTTGGGATAAGAAGGCATTACAATTGAAATGATCATGCTATTACATTTGACAAGGGTGGATGATGTCATGTGTTTTAAACGTATATCATTTTTGTTTCTGGTTCAAAAGAAAAGGTTGGCAGTAAATGTGGGTGAAAAGTGAAATTTACTGTCTATCACTGTAAATATTAGAAAATCAAGGCAATACTGTCTTAATGAAAACATTAACGATTCCCTCTTTATCAAATGAGACAAACGGGAACGAGTTTTGAGTGATATAACTAAGCCAAGACTGCCACCGTCATTTTGGATCTCCGCCTGGGTAGATTTTAGTCACGTGCTAGGCAACGTATAATCAAGAACAATATAGAATTTCATTTCAGGCCTATTTATCAATGTTGTGGTGTATAACTTTCGCATTTTAGTACGTAATATTTATTTTGAATCTTCAAATTGTCTTGAAACTTAAAAGAAAATTGTTCTTTAAAAATTCCCTGAAAACCGGTAGCTAAGATTGTTTGTTTAGGCGTTATTTGATTTTCGTGTTACCTTGTAATTTCGTCAGTCGCCGGCGTCTTTTGTTGCTTCACACAGGAAAAACACACGATACGAAACGTAATGATCGATTTTGTCCTCAATCTCGCGCCATAACAAAAAAAGCCTTTGAACATATGTAAACTCCGAGCGCTTCGCAGTAAGTGATATTTTCAATGAATCTTCGGATTGTTTTCAAGTTCAAGGATTGTAAATTACAATTTTATGAAAAAGGAAGGTTGTTCTGTTATTTCGGTGTGAATCATTGCATGCCTGCCAGTCGCTGGCGCCGCTTGTTGAAACTAAAATGAAAATAAATAAACTCTTTTAAGATTATCATCTGCTTCTTTTTCACCCCACCACTATTCTTAGTAACAAAGGTCGCCATTGCTTTTGTTTATTGCTCGCCAAAAACTATCAAATGCACTCAAAAGCCTAAAATCGAAAAAAAGTTTAAAGGAATCCACCAATCGATCGAGCGAGCGAGTGCCATTCTCCACATCACATCTACAACTCGCTCTTGCGCATGCGCGCAATTCACGGGTTAAAAAGGAAAACTTTTCTATATTCAACAAAAACTTAACCGGGTCTTCTTGCTGCCGTCCATATATGCATTGTAACTTTAATACTTTGTCCGCTTAAAAAAAGTCCAATGCTTGCTTTCAAAAGTGTCTGTGTCCGCTTACGAGAAAGAGGCTGCTTGCGGGAATGTGCAAAATTTGACTGGCAGGCGAAAGGAGGGATTGGAAATAGTGGCTGTAAGCAGAACTGTCCGCTTACGAAAGAATCCGCAAGCGGGAAGTTGACTGTACCGACTCGTTTCCAGTTAATGGCGGTAGGAGTTATTATTGGTAGGTCTTCTTCTCGCTCCGGAAATTTACTGTTTACTTTTATTGTAGATTGTTATTACGCAATTACCTTCAAACTGAATTTCTGTAAACAACTTTTGTTAAACTTAAATATCACCTGATAAAATTGTACTAGGTAATTTTAAGCGCACATAAAGCAACAGCTGAATAAGGGATGCGCAAAGGCTTCGGCTTTGCGGAGAATACGTAAGTTTATTTCAAAGGACGTGTTAGTTCGTTTATATAAGGCCTATGTACTCCCTCATCTGGAGTACTGCAGTTTTTACTGGGAGTAGGTAACGCGGAGACTACAAAAATAGAGACAACTAATTACTTTATATTAAGAACTATATTAGGCTTCTCGAAGTCTGTGTCATACGACTTCCTCCTCAAGTTGGCCGACATTAAGTCTTTGGAGAATCGTAGGCAATTCCAATCGTTGGTTATGTTATATAAGTGCTTGTATGATAAGGGGGCTCCTTATATAAGTGATTTTTTTCATTTTAGAAATGTACCGTATAGTTTACGCGGGCTCAGTACAAGGCTAGATTTACCTCCTTTTAATCTTGAGTTTTTACATCGGTCTTTTTCATTTTTAGCTAGTAAACTTTGGAATGCGCTACCCCCTAGACTCAGAGAATCTCAAGATATTGCTTCATTTAAGCGTTCTCTTAAAGCCCACATGGCTTAACGGTAGTGATTGTAAATATCGTTATTGTTGTTAATATTGTTAATATTGTAACTTCTAATTGATAGCTCTTGTCCATGATTCTCGATCCTGTTTTTAGCTTTTTAATAGATTTACTTACTATTTGTATTCTTACAGAAATTATGCTTTATTTCTAATTGTACATACACGTACACGTTTTAACGAGAACTTCTGTACTCCTAGGTGTCACGTGTTTAAATAAAGGATTGATTGATTGATTGATTGATTAACATTGCCCACGCTAGTTTAATTTGGCCTGGTAATCCACAAAAGATAGTGAAAATTTAGAAATTATATCTTAGCACCAGCGCAGTTTGCTTATAACCTACTGTACAAGGGATAACGTGAGCAGTAACCAGCAGAACAGTTGAGCTGTCAAGTTAAGCCAAACAAGTTGCACTACATTCCACGCTCTTCAACTGAGTTTAGAGTGAAAAACTTATACTTAACGAAATGAATTTCAGAGACTTAAAGCGAATTGCCTACCTTGCTTTCTCCCAAGCTTTGCGCTTTCCTTTTCCTCCACGAACCCTCTCTCAGTTCTCGTGGATTTTCAGTGTCACTAAGACCGTTTTTTAGTAATTCTTCAAATCTAAAAGGAAAGGAAAGGAAAGGAAAACGATTGAACACGCTACAAAACGTTAATATGTACTCTTCCTGACAAAAGCAAATACACTTATTTTTTTTATCCGGAATAGAGGGGTCTAAGAGAGCATGAGATCGAGATATCCAAAGCAAAATAGCTATAAAACACAACCAGTACAAGCCCACGCCCTTGAACACCGCCTAAATTTGAGGAAAACACAGGGTCAGGAGATCCAGGATTCACTATTTAACTCGATATCACCAGAAAATCACTGTACCAACAAACTGGCGTTTGTGAAGAAAAGTTTCCCTTCTCTTAAAATACCGTTTACCAGGATGCAAACTTACGAGCTGTATAAGAAAATTTTTAGGAGCACCGAAGCGAGAAATCCGAAGGTCTGAGGTTCGGTTTCTCATGATGACTTAAATTTTCTCTATTCTTCGCTTGACGGAAGAAAAACAAATCTTTCTAGAATTCCACTTGACCAAGCCGCCCCCTATTAATTCTCTATTTGCTGCACAATTCTCTTTCTGTTATCAAAAATGGAAATGAAAGAAACGGTCTTACCGTCTAGACTGCATTTTAGCTTCGTCCACGGCAGACTTTAGCTGTTCGTTCATTATCCTTATTTCAGCCTGGGAAGATGAACACGGAGATTCTTTTACCATGGAAGACGCACGTGGTACTGACGTGACAAGTGGTGGCGTTACCAACAATGGCGTGATCGTTGGAACCGATAAATAGGATGACGTGACCACCGGCGTAGACTGTACTGATGGCGTTGCGAGAGTACGAGACAAACCTAGGTATCAAAGAAAACGGCAAAGTGTATTAAAGAGACTGTTTCGCATAGCTTATGGAGTTTATTCCGGTTTGAAGGGCATCTAACCACTACTAGAGCTACTTTTTTGGGACGTATCATTTGTCCATCTTAAGGCAAGTACCATCAATGTGTCCAGTTTTACGACAGTTCACTAGTATTCATTCATACTTCTGTATGGAATGAAGCACTGTGAGAGGAGAGTGTCTTGCCTAATAACACCAAACGAAGTCCCTTGCCAGGGTTCCAACCCAGATCTCTCCGTCCAGAGTCCATGGTTAACCAGAAAGGCATCGGGTCTCCCTGAGCGCAGGAGACTCGTATATCGTCAAATTCTCCCCGCTCATTGGGAGAAACAGAGGCCTCACGGAAAGCGCGCTGTACTCCGGAAAGAGAGTTGAGGGTAGGAATGGGCACCAGCAAAGTTTCAGGGAAAATAAACGGACAGCCGAGAGATAACCTGATATCCTATCCACTACTCCTGTTTACTTTTCGCTACTGAATCCACGAACATCGGCAGTAGCAAGGATCTATTAAGCATTTCGAACTTTACCTTTGCCATCGATCAAACAATACCAAATGGAGAAAAACCTTTTGAAAATCAAGACAGCAGGGTAACAAGGCTTAAGGCCAACCATTGATATTTTCTTCGAAAAACAAACGAAAAGAACCTTCCAGTTAAAAGAAGCAAGATCAAAGGAGTGTTAATCCAAAGAAATGTGCAATCCTCGCCTTCCAACCCCCTCCCCCAACAACTTTTTTCGAGCTGATAGCTAAGGCTTAGAGCCTTTTTGCTCTGAGAGGAGACGATTGCTAAAGCTATCTTCATATTGCCACTGTGAAATAACAAAAGTATAGCACGGAAGCAACTTATGAAACTATTACCTGTTATATCTTGAAACTGTTGTTCCATATCTAGAAATGACTCTTGTAACTTGGTGTCTTTGCTCTTCCTTGGTTTAGACGACTCTAGACTAAAAATTAACACAGGCTTTAGCTCAAATATCTGTATAACACTCTCAATTTTCCTTTACATTTATCCCCAGCAACAATATGAGTGTGCGTAAAAGGCGAAGTTTGCGATCAAAAAGTAATTTGGAGTTTAAAATGTTACGATGAAGAAGACTAGAGAAACTTGGCTTGAAAAAATAAACTTTTCTTTCTCTATGAATTTCGCGGGTAGCTTGATGTGTCAACTGTCTCTAACGGCACCAGATCTCTCTTCAAATAAAATGCAAATGCAGCGTTGACTTCGAAGGAGAAACGTGAATAATTCGCAATCGGGGCTCAAGTTCTCAGACATCTTAATCTTTGCAATAATTGCTGACCTAATGTTCTTGTTTTATAGCGAACGGCCAGGAAATATACGAAGTTATTGATCAGCTCATGAAACCGTTTGTTTCGCTTCGCTCTCACTACAATCGCCGTTTAAAAACTGTCGCCCTTTTGGTAGTAAACCTATTTTCTCGTGATCCCAGTGGAAGGGTATATAAACTAAGTTGGACGACTAAATGGCCAGAAAGTCTCTGGGAAAAAGATAAGCGCCTACTAAAATTACCTCTTTGCTTTCGCCGCTTCCTTCTTTGACAAATTTATCGACTGCATCCAAAGCGTTGGTGGATAAAATGCATCTAACTCCTCAGGTAAGAAATAAACGTCCTGCTCTTCTAAGCCTGGGTCCGAATGTAATGGGGTTAGACGAAAATTTACGCATGCCTCAAGCACGAGTGGCCAGGGAACCTGAGATGCAGATAGCCAGGGACTGGCCAGAGGTAAGTCGATACCGTTCAATGCTCGCTGAGTGCGAGTTAGAATCCACTTGACCCTAAAAGTAACATCAAAGAACTCAGAAACCTAGACAAAGGGATATGTGTTGGCTAAATCTTGGGTTTGATTCATAGCTCTTCTCAGGGACCGCTTCAAATGTCCATTTCTCGTAATCACCTCCCTGTCCTTTCCTCGCTTTTTAACTCGTGAATTGCGCGCATACGCAAGAGCGAGTTGTAGATATGATGTGGAGAATGGCACTCGCTCGCTCGCTCGATTGGTCGATTCCAGCGACTGGCAGGCATGCAAGGATTCACACTGAAATAACAGAACAACCTTCGTTTTTCATAAAATTGTAATTTACAATCCTTGAGCTTGAAAACAATCCGAAGATTCATTGAAAATATCACCCACTGCGAAGCGCTCGGAGTTTACAGATGTTCCATAGCTTTTTCTGTTATGGCGTGAGATTGAGGAAAAAATCGATCATTACGTTTCGTATCGTATGTTTTTCCTGCGTGAAGCAACAAAAGATGCCGGCGACTGACGAAAATACAAGTTATCACCAAAATCAAATAACACCTAAACAAACAATCTTAGCTACCGATTTCAGTGAAATTTTTAAAGAAAAATTTTCTTTTAAGTTTCAAGACAATTTGAAGATTCAAATAAATATTACGTACTAAAATGTGAAAGTTATACACCACAAAATTGATAAATAGGCCTAAAATGAAATTCTATCTTGTTCTTGATTATACGTTGCCTAGCACATGACTAAAATCAACCCAGGCGGAGATCCAAAATGACGGTGGCAGTCTTGGCTTAGTTATATCACTCAAAACTCGTTTACGTTTGTCTCATTTGATAAAGAGGGAATCGTTAATGTTTTCACTAAGACATTATTGCCTTGGTTTTCTAATATTTACAATGATAGACAGTAAATTTCACTTTTCACCTACATTTACTGCCAACCTTTTCTTTTGAACCAGAAACAAGACTGATATACGTTTAAAACACATGACATCATCCACCCTTGTCAAATGTAATAGCATGATCATTTCAATTGTAATGCCTTCTTATCCCAACGTTATTGTTTCTTTGCAGCGAACACTGAACTACTGCTCGTACTCTAGATAAGACAATCAACCACAAAATTCCCTAAACCAGATAAAATTAAACGTAATCCAAAAAAATCATGTGTCAATTCACGAGTTTGCTCACAGAGCACTTTGATTTTGTTTTTGTTTTTCTGTTTTTGCTTGATGTCATGTGAGTAACTTTTATTTCACGCATCACCCCATCGTTCTTTACATTGAAAAATTCTCAGATTTCAGGGTGTTAAACGGATCCGCTTTGTAGCTCACGTAGGCACAAGAAAACCCAGACCTTCAAGACTACAAGCAGTCCCACCTTTTCGGCAGCTCAATGCTAATGCACGCGCGGAACTCTGGAAATGAGGCGCACTCCCTGATCTCCGCGCACTAAAATCAATTTTTTTGGTTCGCCAATTTCCTTTTTGTTCGTTTGTTTTTTTACCCGCATGACGGACCTCACTGTAAAAGGGGGATTGCTCCGTGTCTACAGACCTTGGCATTCTGTGCTACTGGAACCTATTTTGGGAAGGGGCGGGGTGGGTGGGAGGGCTACTGGGTTCACATCATGGCCCCATGGGCTCTTGGTTCACATGACACGAGCGTCCTTTATGTTATTACGATCTCTAGGGTTGAAAACGGCGTGTGAGAATATACAGCGAGAAAAATTTTCAACATCGAGTTCGGTCGACTGGGAACAAGACTCAAGGTTCCCTTGGTTTCTTTGATAAGGGTGAAAAAGGAAGCCAGCGCCTATCACACTTACCTGTTTAACAGGCTGGCGGTGTCTGGTGATAACCTTCGAGCGTATTCTAGACACAAATTACTTTCAGACTCCCATGTGCCTGGAAAATAAACAGACTATGAATAAAGGCGTGTGTATTGGAAAAGCTTTTTAAGGTAGCATGCCGGTGGACCTCTCCGTAAGGCTTTCTCGCTCGAAGAAGTCATTCACACCACAGTCTTCACGCGAGAGTGCAAGTTAGTCGTCGATGAAGCTTCAAAATGGATGTCTTTACCTGAACAAAAAAAATAAATTTCCAAAGATAAGGAGAATGCTTCCTACCATCAACAGCCGCTGGTGGAGGTGGAGGCAGTTTTAATGAAGTAATAAGTGTATTCATCCTTTGTAAGTTCTCGTAACTGTTCCATGTAGCATCTGGTACATCTGTTGGATAGTAAGCAAAACACTAAATAAATTTTTTCCTTTTTTTTTCCTTTTCTTTTCTATACTTTTTTTTTTTAATTTCTTTGCAAGGAGGAGATTGTGTGAAACTTCTGTATTCTGTAAAGGTAACAAAGCAACTAAATGAGGCGTCATTATATAAACAGGAAATAGGACGTAGCCTTGCTCTAGTCACCTAGGAAATAGGAAGCTATTATTCGATTACGTGTTGTGAAACCAAACCCAAAGTACTCCAGCCGGTCAATCAGAACAAAGAATATTAAACAGAAGGCACAGCAAGGACGTGAAGTCAGCTCAAAGCGCGAGAAAGCGCGAGTCACCAAATCCTAGATGTGTTTGTTTTGTTGAGATGGCGAGAGTTTTCAAGACCTATCATAAAGCGCGGTTAAACGAAACCCTTGTTAACCTTTTTTTTGTTTTGTTTTGTTTTTTTTTCAGACAATTATTAGCAACTCTACCAAGGGACCTATAATTATCCATCCTCTGGGAGGGGGGCTCCGGAGGATTTTCGTCGGGTCACATGGTTTTTCAGGTGAAAGGAAGGGTGTCAGTCATCACTAACAGAGTATAGAGGGGGAGGGGAAATTATTGAGAATTGACTGCCAATGAGGGAGGGGGAAAAACAGATCGGGTAGGTTTTATTACGTCAGAACCAAATTATCCGACGTCCCCCTTGGGCGATAAATAATGACCGGTCTCTAACACAAACATAAAACATAGAAGGTTGTAAGCCCTTAAAGTTACGGCTGTGGTTGAATAGAAATAATTCGCCCTTACCATGTTCCCCGTTTTCTTTATCGCTAAATTCTTTCATCGGCCAGGACAGATTTTGTAAACTCCTCGAGGAAGCAACGGCTCCTAAATGTTCCAAAGCGCTGTTGTATAATTCAACAATAGCTTCTGGACACTGGAAAAGAAAAACGAAACGAGAAAATTGAATTCCAACGAGAAAACAAGACACATGTATCAATCAATTTATGGAATGTCAGTGTATGAACAACTACGCACCCACCCCTCCCCTAACCCTGACCTATCATCAGTTAACTGTTATTGGGTTAGGGGAGGAGTAGCTGCGCAGTTCCTCCGACACAGACGTTGATCCCAGTCTGGGATGAGGTTACCCTTACATACGAGTTAGAGGCTCATGTATTGAACACACGACAATTTATTTTACGAGTACCTGTTGATCCAATTTGGCTTGTCGTCTGACAAACACATCCTCCGCCAGTGGTGTGGTGAAGAATCTCTGAAGACCTAGAAAATTACAAACTTATTTCACACGGATTGAACATGAAAGCTTATCTTTTTGGAATGCGCATCAAAACTCTAATGAAGAGATTAATAGGTTTCACGGCTCAAAGTTAGGATTGGTAAGAACATTGACAAATTCCTGATCTACATGTGTTTTCCCTCCAGTTCTGTTTTGAAAATTGCCGATATGTTTCACACCATGTTTCTCCTGCAACTTTACTAAGTCCTTAAACTGTATGCCTTAAACTGTATGTCCTTAAACCGATGGTGAGGGTTCGTTTCGAGAAAAGTTGTTATCCCCACTTAAATTTTTGTTTTTTCGGCGGCTCCAGGTCGTGGCACAGTAATCAACTTTTCAACGACACCACTGACCGAACGAAGTCGTTTCGATAATCGAGGTCGTAGCTCTTTTGACGTCATTCACATAATGACGTCACTTTAGTAGACGAAATCGTTAACTGAGTTAAGTGATAAACGACGTCATGAAAAATTAACGACGTCATAAATAACAAACTAAACCAGAAGAAAAACAACACGCAAATGCGCAGGTAAGTGTTGCATAGACTAGGCGTGATAATTGATTTTCACACGCAAACTTTAGCAAGGGGTTATTTCCATCCCTTAACAAATTTCAATAACACTCGCATTTTTCATGTACACTGGCGCTAACTTGACAGATGCTAAAGCCACGGCACTCACCGTTCTCAATGAAGTTTCCTACGTTGTCGGTCTTTGGGAGACTGCATCGAGCCATGTGACGTCCTAACCAAGTCACTGCCGAACAAAGCTGTAAATAGAAAAATTTTTAACTATTAGTCAATAGGTATTAAGATATAGGCACCGCTGATTTTATTCAACAGGGGGTTTAAGGTTTCCTAGAACGACGGTACCTAACTCACTGCCATGAGTTACGGGCTTAAAACCTCCCAGTTGTTTTAACTTTTCACTCCTAGGAGTGATCTTTCGCTGGATTCTACTAACAATTTATGTATGTTAATAAGTTGAAAAGTAACGAAAGTGAGTAGGATTATTTCAATGGAGATAATGTTTTGATATACCTTCAAATTCTTACGAACCCCCCAAAAATTGTGGTCACTTGTTGAGAAAATTAACCCTAACATCCTCGGAATGAAAAAGATCACTACATGGTGAACTACGTCGCTAAGAGCACATTTCTATTAAAACCATTTAGTGACGACAACAGCTAGTCAGGGCTGAGGAAAATACCTCATAGAACCAATGAGAACTCAAAAAACAACCAAACTTCCTGAAGCGCGGGAAAACGCGTGTGATTAATTCGCGTTTGGTTCTTGTTTGGAATGCGATTGGATGAGCAAAATGGCGCGAGTTTTCTGGACCTATCACAGAGCGAAGTATTTAGCAAAACTAACGCAGTCCCGGATCACTTTCGACACAACTGAAAATTGCTTTTGAAGTTCATATAAGCCTCGAGCATATTACCACAATCAGCAATGAGATGAAAGTGCTCTCAATGAAATAACAGCTTAAATAATATGATAAATTTTGGGTTCAATCGTCACACTGACAAAGACAACAAAGATCATTTTTTTGCATTACAAGAACTCTTTGAAGCTGATCACCAATGAAGTCAACCTATTAACCCTTTAACTCCCAAGATCTCATTAGTAATTCTCCCTACTGTCTGCCATACAGTTCTTGTGATGTTAGTTTGGAGAATTTAGTACTGGATCAACTAATAATCCCCTAATTAAGATTTTTCTGTATTCTCATCTTTTGTCTGCTTGATATTGTATTGATATTGTAAGGAGAAATTCTGTCCTGGTCGCTCATGTGAGTTAAAGGGTTAAAAACCTCTTACATACCTTTTGTGACAGATCATCTCGGTGGCCTGAGAGCGAGCTGACTGTAGATAAATTGCACTCTGATAGGAGACCATCTGCTTTTAGCTGTTGAACACCCAGACGGAATAACATATCTTCTGGAATAAAAAGCATAAACACTTTGATAAGTGAGCCATATGATATGATTTTTTTATTAGGTTAACCTTTCTGCTTTTCGCGTGTAACTGATCACGCATTTTTCATGCAAACAACTTAAAGAATTTCAAGGTCATCGTCAGCCTCCGTTTGGAACAAAGGTTTGCAACAATTCATGTAGCCGTAAAATGGTTTATGAGTGACCAGCACTGAACAGGAAGGCAAATGTCTGAAAAAAAATATTTCTAAATTAAAAAAAAAGCTGCTGTAAGCTGCTGGAACCAAGGATTTTAGATTCCGGCCCGCTGAGATGCTCCAGAAAAAAAAAGCATATGGTTATCGCTAATAATGTTTCACGTAGGCCCAGTAGCTTACCTTCGGTTGTCGAATTTCCTTCGTGGTCAATTACTATCACAGCGACTGGTAGTCTCGGTTCAGGTGGCTTGCTTTCAAGTATACGTCTCAGGCGAATGTGAGCTTCTCTTGAGGCCTAAGATGCGCGTTTACACATTACGAAAGCAATTGTCAAAAGATGTGTACCAACATCACAATGACTGGCCATGAAAATACATGATACTTCAGTATTATCAACTGAGTTGATAATACGAACAAGACCGAATGACAAAGGGCTCGAAACGTCAGCTTTGAAACTCTTTACGGTGACCAATTTACGTCATCAACTCAGTTGCTAATACTAAATTACCCTGTTATACTCTCCCACCGACGCAGCACCACAGTTTCTTTAGAAACTTACCACCTTCATTCGTGAAAATAAAAGTCAAACAATCCAGTTGTAAGGATAAGCCACGTACATAGTTGAAACGAATTTCTTTCAAAGCCTTTTCGGGTACAGCTCTCTATAACATGATCGGCAGTCGCTTATGGAAAAAGTTATTGAAACCCCTGAGTTTATCCTGTCAATGCCATGAAGATGGAGAAGGAATTTCTCTCCTAGATATCATTACAACTTTAAAAAGAAAGCTAAGAAGAGGAAGGAGAAAAAGAGAAAAATATGAAGTGGGAGATTTTGTTGAATTAACCACCTCTTCAGGGATTTAGTTATAAAAAATATGAGGAGTTGATATTCAGATTTTGGGTACGAAAGAGTTATGAGCAACTTGAAAAAGTGTTACGAACACTGGCATAACTCGAGCGGAAAAAGCACCTGATACTTTCAAGATCATTTTACCTCTGGACTGCGCTGAAGTTCTTTCCCGTCAACAACAAAGATGACCGCGTGAGATCCGAAAAACTGCCGCGTTTCCATCGCTTCTCTTACTTCTGTGTTCGTCAAAACGCCATAACAGGCCTGCAAAGCATAGAAACTTGGATAAAACAACAAAAATTCTTACTGCCACGGCATTTTACCTCACTCTAATCAGCTTATAACATACACACAAGTTCCCGATGGAACAAGATGGAATACAGGATTAAGCAAGCGAGTGTGGAAATTGAACAAATATTCCTCAAATGGAGTACAAACTCCCTTAGAACGCAAATATATTCTTGTTGTGTCAACTTAGTGAAAGAACATCTATTTTCCTAGTCTTCCCACTCTCTTCGATAAATATGTGATCGTATTTTATCTTTATCCAACACCTCAGTCGTCCTATCTGATGTTTATCGATTTTTCATTAACTGCTACGCTAGCGTTTCAAGGATGTGCCATCGCTCTAACTGTTTATCAAGAAAATCTCTAACGTAAGGCTAACGATGATTGAAGCAGTTGCCTCTCTAACGGAAAACCGTTCGTGGCATGCATGGTCATGTATAATTTACATAACGGGGGATGGGGGAAGTGAAGGGAGGCGAGGTTACCATACTTAAGACTGGACTAACTAACCTGAAAATTAAATTCAAATTACGGCGAGAAAAGTGAAGGTTTTCCCAGACCACAATAGAAAATGGCTCCTAGAGTAGTTTTATTCTTCACTAACCTTGGTGCAAATTTTCATCACTCTTTTCTGTAAGGGAACGCCACGGACTTCCGCACCATAGAGTGCTAACAAATCAATCTAATAAAGGACGACACCAAAAAGAAAAAAGAAACAAATTAAAATCTGCTCTCTCGTCCAACACCAATAGGTCCATCCTGTCAAGACCTTACAGCAAAAGCTATCTTTCTAGAGCACAACGAGATCTTAAACGCAAAAAACAGTGAATGGTGAAAACTATTCAGCCAAACAGACTCAATATGCAAACCAAACGTGACATGGTTCCCCGCACTTTACTACAGTCACGTGATTCTGTCTCCAGCACTAACTGGTCAGCCACATTTTCAGTATTATTCACAGTAAAAACTAAATAAAGGAGCGAAAAAATTAACGACTAACTTTTCTCTTGAGTCCATGAGGAATGTTGTCACTGACTGGATAAAATCCTCTTTTCAACTTTTCCCTGATCATAGAACAAACGTCAAGCCCGCTCTCGTGATCACCGGTGAATTCAAGGCCATCGCGCATCTCTGGTAGCGATAGAATCAATTTCCAATAAACCGGGGAGCTGGGACATAATCTTTGAGCGACTGGCTGAGATCTCATCGAGTCTGCAAGCAACAATGGTACGTCCAGCGGACGGCATGCTTGTTTTCTGTGATAAAAAGGAAGAAAATAGACTTATTTAAAAAGAAAGTTTATTCAAAGCTTGAACCATGACTGATGGCCAAGGATTTCTTAGCTGACTAAAGCTAAGGATTCAAAGTGACATGGCCAGAAAATATACCGTCGTGTCGATTTTCTTTTCTTTGGTTCCCATCTTTAACCTACAATACTGAGGGTTCTAAATCTAAGAGCAAACAACGTACTAATTACTCCTTGAGGGAAATGGAGGAAGTTACATCAGTCGCTGAGACACCCGCAGACTGTGGAATTGTGCTGAATTGTAATGAATACTTTCCCCAACTTAATGGTACTCCAATATTTGTTGCTCGTTCTATTGCAATTATTATTTGTTACAAAACATTCGGTGGCAGTAAATTGAATTTTAAGGTGGAAAGTTTTGCTGATCTTGGGAAAAATTTTTTGTTGCTAACGTGCTCATCAGAACAACTACACTTCCTTTTTGGTTCGTTCGTTCGTCTGTTAATTTTTTTTACAACGACCGCCGTTGGCACGCATGCATTTCTTCTACGCGCGCCATCGTCAATACCTGCTGTACTCCATATGTGCTTGTCTTTTCTCCAATACATTACGGATTTCACTTTCATGGGCATCAGTCCTGAAATATGTTCAATTGCAACTTTATTAGATGGAAGTTTAACTTTGTCAGTATAAACAGCCAGACTAGGTCTCAAAGCACACAGAGACGGTTCATTACTGAAAAAAGGCACATTAACCTTATCACAGCCATGGTGACGTCCTGTGTTCTGTGTCCCACAAGTTGCTGGAGTTGATTATCGATGCTGACCATGGGAGGTCCAGGAGGAAAAGTGTTGAGAAGTCCCTTTAAATGCACACTAGCGCGGAATGCTGTGTGCCACCTTGGAGAAGAAACAACATGTAAGTGGCGTCTTTGACAAAATTCACCCAAATCATTGAATGACGTCAAATCCTTAAGTCATCAAGAGTAAGGTTAAAATTCAAAGGTTTGTTTGAACTGAAACCTTTCCCCACTATTTGAACCTGGAGATATCATAAATAACAAACTAGCCTCGTTTTCTCAGTCTGTTCTATTAGCTACGGAATCTCGATTATCCGATAAGATTTATGGCCCGCGCCTGCGCACTTCTTACCAAGGGGAGGAAACTCGGTCCGTATCTTATAGCACAGACCTCGAACCCCGTTAGTAAGAGGTATACTAACGTTTACCCGGAAAGGAAAAAACAATTGCTTGTTAGCGCCGGAAAACAAGGAATGGGGGAAACGTATGCTAAGTAACAGACGCCTCATTATACGGGGTACGAGTGATTCAGACCTGCGCGTACCAGCGTGTCCGATATCTTTCTGTATCCTTTGCCATGCAGGCTAAGTGAAGGGTAAAGAAATTTATTGACCGGGCACTTGCCACAGCTGATGCATTTTGGCGACACCTAGAGTCCTGAGAATCATTGGAAAAAACAAAAATGTTCGCTTTTGTCCCACCCCCCAGAGGTTTAAACAAAAGAGACCGACACGACATTGGGGACAGAACCAAACCTGACAAGGAAGGCACGGGTAACGCAGTATTTCACGCAGTTAATTCTGTAACAGATCAGAATGCAGCGAGTAAGTGCGCACCTTTCGAAATATTTTGCAGTTCTACTCTTTATAACATAGCCGGCCAATAGCTGCAACTTAGCGTCTCTTTCTGACTTTGCCTCCTGCAATACTTCCTCAGCAATTTCTTCTACTTCAGCCGAGACTTTCTCCTCTATCAAGGACTGGCAAATCTCTTGTGAAATTCTTTCTCTGGCCAATTTCAGAAGCTCTAAGCGCACTTGTCTGGAAGAAATAAACAAAGACATTAAGAATTTTGTGTTTATGAAAACTTTCATACTTTCATTCGTCATATGAATGAATTTGAACTCTTCCAACAGCTTAGGAAAACAAGTAACAACCAATTAAAATCCCTACGAAAGGTCTCTACTTGAACCAGAGAGCGTTAGAACCTGGTTAGCGCGCTAAACTCCGAGTCAAGAGAACTAGATTCAGGCCCTGGCCTGAGCACTGTGTCGTGATCTTGGGCAAGAGACTAAATTCTCCCCATGCCTCTCTTCATCCCGTCCACGAGAAAGGCACAGGGAGACCTGGAAAAATGTCGATTGGATAAGTTCCGCACAGATGAGACACAGGAATGCTAACCTCACCTATTACCTTCCATGTTTCCTTTTAAATCAACCTTCTGTTTTGTTTTGTTTCGTTTTGTTTTTTTGGGTTCTATTTTAATGTTTGGGTTTTTTTATGTTGCGTTTTTCTTAATTTTTTTCTCTCGATAGTGGGTGATCGAGATTGTTATTCCTGATTAACACTAACTTTCTTTTACCTTATGACCTCCTCCGCAATCCTCGTACTTTCAAGAGAAACAAACTCCTCTGTTAAGTCATCGTGAATAGTGCGTGACACACGCTCTCGAGTGACCGCGTTTTCCTGAGCAATTCTGGGGAGAGAAAAACATACTTCAGATCGACTGTAACCTTCTCTTCAACAAACCTTCACTAGTTTCGTGTTTAATCGTAGTTGTCACGGACCTTTTTTTACTGAGTTCCTCGGTAAACACTGTATTTGCTGTTTCTCTTATGAACTCTGATATCGTCTCCTCGTAAATCGTATCTGTAATCTCCGTGGACAATTGAAGATCAACATGTACCTGTAAAAAAAAATACAGTGATGAACTAAAAAACAGATGCAAAGCACCTTCAAATTTAGAAAAAAATTTATGGTACTAGTTCTGTATGAAAGAGAACTTATCACGCACAAGGGAAGGAAGCCCAAAGATATTAGGCCTGTTAAGCAAGTTATCATATGACAAGCAAAAAGATCACCTTGTCAATGGCTTCCTTTGTAATGTCTGCACACATTTCGTTCATCACTTCCAAGAACAGTGTCTTGGTAAAATTTTGTATTTCCTGCAATAAACGAACAACTTTTCATTATGGACTCAATCTGCCAACTGGTAAAGCGTAGATAACTCATGCTCTTTTAAGGCTGGTTTCAGCGCTTTACTATAATCTCGTTACGACCACTTCCACAGAGGTTTCAATTAAAGCCGGTTACCGCTGGTCTACCGCTGCCTTTAACACATCTCACCGCCGTCTGTTGAGCGTGCGAGCAAGGTCACGTGTGCGGGTTTCGCCTTACGATATCATCGGCAGCCACTTATGGAAAAAAGTGCTCGAAACCCCCGCTACGATTTGTCAGAAATATTTCATTCACCCGAGCGAAGGACAAAACTTGCCTTTGTCACATGCTCTAGCAAAATGATCTGAAACCTTCACTACACAAACGGAGCTCTACATGTGAGCTACAGGCCACAAAACTATGGTCGCTTTTTATTTATTTATTTTTTTACAACTGCCTCGCTTAATGCTAAAGTTCAGGAATGTCTGACAAGTTCATTTTCCAGCGATCGTGTCGATAAAAACTGCTTGCGTTTTTCATCAGCTCACCTCTTCGGAGTAAGACACTGTGGGTTTAGCAGGTTCAATCTGAGTGGGCTACAGACGACAGAAAAAAAGGATAAGTTAGTGAACTGAGACGCCACGCGCGTACCATTTGATGACGAAAAAAAACTTGTATCTTATTAAACGTTTGTGTAGTGTGTAGTATTGGAGAGTATTTTTACGAGTTGCAACGTATTTTGACGAACCCGTAAGGGCGAGTCAAAATACAAACAAGGAGAAAAAAATAATCAGTGATACAACACAGCAAAGCGTTCAATAACTTATTTGTTATCCAACCGCCTTATTTCATGCGCACTTCTAATATGGCGGGAAAAGCGTAGCAGATAGGAAAGCGTTGTAGGCGCAGTCGACTGGTTAAACAGGTTTTTTCCTGTACAAAATAACCAACCGTACAACATCGCAGGATATTTGTATTCGATTCGCGCGTTACTTGAACTCTACTCAGTGCAGTTGGATAATAGGAGGCCTTATCAGTAACCCGTGAACCATTTAAAAAATATTTATCTGAAAGTTATTGCTAAGAATTAATAAACCATTCTCTCTTTCATTCAAAAAAAGTTCTAGTTAACTTGTTCAACATTGTGTCTCGCTTACAACTAGTGTAGAATGCAGGTCCGTTAAGTAACCGATGTAGCGGCCGTCTTCACTGAAGCTGAGGCATGGTTGATGCTGAGGGGGGGTTGGAAGTGGTCCGTTGTAAACCACCTAAAGCAACAATAGAAATGAGTAGAGGAACGTAACCAAATTTCATTAAATGTCCAAGGAGGGTATTAGTGAAGATACAAATGAGTAAATGTGTACGGAATTTTTCAATATGAAAGTTTAATTTAAGCGGACGGACAACACATAAGACATAGAGCACATATGACACCATCAGGATCAGAGTCAAGTTAAGAAAGCAAAGATTCCAGTTTGCCGTGGGTCTGTACAAAAATAGAACACTGATGACGTCAAAATGTGGTTAGAACATTTAAGTGGCACAGGAGGCGCAACCGAGTGTGTCACTGATGTTCTGACTACATTATGACGTTATCTGCGATCTAGTACTGTACAGACCCATGGCAACATGGAATTTATTTGCTTTTTAAAATAGAGCAAAAAAAATTGATAATGGTCACGTAATCTGAGCTTCTGTCATCGATGGATCGTAAGAAAGCACCAATCAAAACGCGAGCGTGATTTAGCTTAATACATAAACAAACACTAATGACTGTACACACCCTCGGCTCCTGCATGAACCTACCTCTCCAATGGAACAGCTTCGTTTGGATTCGATTAGTTTCCAGGCTCTCTTTGCGGGAAGCTTAGACTCGGGCTCAATGAAAGAAGAACGAGCAAAGTTTACGAACCCCTCTGTTACTGTTAGACCGTGGAACGTGCAAAACTCATCAGCCTGGAAGGAAAAAAAAGTCCTTATTATGGCCATTATTGAGTTTGACGTTCACAGAGAATTCATTTAGTCTACCTATTCTCTTACCGAAAAAGAAGAGAACTGCTTTGAAGAGATTAGTCATCAATCGCCGGGGGGAGAATGGAAATGATTATTTTTGAGGGAGGGAGGGGGGGTGTTGTCACATGGTTTTTAGGGGGAATGGAAAAGGATCAGTCGTCACCAACAGATTATAACAAGGGGAATGTAGAAAACTGACTGCCAATTAATTTCCGATAAGAGGGGATCATATATATACAACAGAGCCTTGAGGGGGGGAGGTTCAGGTAAAGGTTTTCATGACATAACCAAAATCCTGTTTTGCGAAAACAGAATTTATTACAGTTGATCGCTTATAGTGAAAAAAAACTTGTAAATAGTAAAGTTTAGACAATGAAATTTACTCGACGAGGTTTAGAAAATGTTGAAATTAGATCTCTTCTTTTCTTGTTTTGTTTTGTTTTCTTTTAAGCTAGAGAGTCAAGCATTCGCGGTAACTATCAGAAAACATTTCCACTAAAATCATTTTAGTCTTTCCGCCCTTTTAATCATAATTCAATTCAAACCTTTATTCGCACCAACTTTATCCAAACAAACTAAATTTACTGCACTGAAATGACGACTGACTTGACTGCCTAAAATTAAGTCAAACTTCTCAGCCAACCAGCGACACATAACACAAGAACAAAAACAAAGAAAGAAAACAGGAAGGCATACAGTCCATCAAACAGAAATAAAGAAAGAAACAAGGAAAGAAATAAAGAAAAAAGGAAAGAAAGAACTGAAGGACGGAGGAAAGGAACACAAGAACAAAAACAAAGAACGAAAACAAAAGGCATACAGTCAGTCAGACAGGAATAACGAAATAAAGAAAGAAAGAACGAGAGAACGAAACAACGAAAGAAAAAAGAAAGAAAAAAAGAAGGAAAGAACGAAGGAAAGAAAGTACCAAAGGTAAAGATCTACACTCCAAAATTACGTTACCTCAGACTCATTTTCAAATGCCAAAATGTCTGCAAGTTCCTTAAGCTGGAAAGGTGTGGTTCTGTTTGGAATACTCAGCGAGTGATTTAACGTCTGCACGGCTTTGCTGCGAACCTGAAAAGAAATTGTAACACTCATTGTAAAAGTAACACTCTGTTTATCCAGCGCGTGTAGGTGCATGGATGTGTGTCCATAAACGCTCATTCATTGGTTGAGGGACGCTACATTTGAGATTTAACAAGGATCGGAGAATGAACTGATGATCGAACTAAATTCCCAAGTCATACCTACAGGTGCTGACTGCATAATGAGCAAGAAATTGAAATCCTGCAAGGAGTCTAACGTAGTGTAAGGAAATATGTCAGGGAAAGAGTCGACCATTTGTGAAATCGTACCTGAGTGAAGTATCGATGCAGTAGGCAAGCGCTGAGATAGCTAGCGTTTCTATGAAAAAAGACAAAAGCACTCGTACATAAAAGCTTAAAAGAGACCCAATAAGCCTCTTGTTTTAAGGGAATTCCTAGCTGTCTTTGATAAATTATGCGTGCATGTGCACATGAATAAGAGGAAATTTGAAAGAAACATTTCTATAAAGTATTACCGCGTGTCCTGAAATGCCTAAACAAAACATGCAAGCTGCAGAGGTCTTTTTGAGCATTCGATCTCAGTTTGCATCTCGCATCTTCAAGAGTCTGGGGGCGATGATGAAATTCACGGATGT